TAAAATATAACCTTTCTCCACCACCACACACACCCCTCAGAAGACTCCCCCTGCCACACACAAACACAAGTCTGGAAGATTCTTGTGGACTTAGTTTGGGGCAGGGAGGATAGGTGTATACAGTAGGAACACACACACATCTCCCGAGTGGTAGAATGGCTCCATTAACGTTTGAAGTCCCAGGTGTGGGAGGGCCTATCGGGTTCTTTCTGATGTGAACTAGGGGCTGTGTGTGCAATTATACACACATGCTGACATCAGAGTGGACTCCTCAGTGAAGTTAAGACATTTGACCTGCACTCTCATGCAACGAGTGTCAGGGGCAAAGGAGACCCTCCTTGGATATCATGTGTCATGTCCGAAAAGCATCATACCCAGCATTTGTCCCAGATGATGTATGATTTCAGAAGAGGCAAGTGTCCACAAAGGGCAGGAGGAGGGCAGGGCAGGGTAACAGGAGAGAGTGAGGAACCAGTCAAATGCTCACATTCCATCTTGAGTATTGTAGAATAAGCTGGAGAGCCTCTGTGGTTGGGAACACAGAGTTCACTCATCTTTGCATGTTTGTCACTGACAAGAAAATTAAAACCTGCCATTCAGACTCTTCTCGTCGGAATATGGAGCGGAATTCTTATTGTCCCAAGTTGGTGCACACTGTGCCTTCTCATTTCTGCCACGCACAAGTACAGTTTGTTTGGCCAAGTGTAGGCTGTTGAGTAATCTGTGACCTTCAGGTCAGAACTCACTCAATGGGGTGACCTAATCAATAGGATCAGGACCACAACTGAGCAAACGTCTGCTTCTGGGAGGAAAGACGCACCTGCACCCACTCTTACCAAATAATCATGCGATACAGAAGTACACGGGAAAATACACCAAAACACACCTTGGAATTTGTTTTTTGACAAAACATTGCAGAAGGTGAACTGTTGGCCTGTTTCCATCTTTATTTTGGTGCTACGACGTGTCTGTTCTTTATTTAAAGACTGTTCTTGGTACTTAGTTAATATTATATATTCTACATTGTGAAATAAGTTAAACAATGGGGAAATGATGTTTTTGGAGCAGCAACCTGTTTTCCTATAAAAGATAATTAAAAGATAATGAATCTAAGCATCTCTCTCCTAAAGAAATGGCTAAAATGTATTGGCAGTCAGTATGCAAATAGAGGGAATAAGGTTTCAAAGGCTCTATGGCGTCCTAAGAACTTCACCTTCGAAACAAGGTATTGAGTCTTCACATGTCTTTTCTGTTTCAGTCAGTCAGTCCACAAGTATTTCTCTGTCTACCGTATGGTAAGTGCTGGGTTGTGCTGAGTTACACTGATGAACGAGACAGCGAGACACCAAACAAAGAGGAGATTAAGACAGGAACAGGGCAGGGATTCCTGTTTTTAATTAATTGAGAACTATTTAAAGCAAGGTAGTCAAGAACGACCTCTCCAGGGCTGTCCGTGACATTCAAACTGAAACTGAAGCAAATATAGTCTTTGAAGTCATTACGGGCAAGAAACCCCAGTGGGGTGGATGCGTGCTAGGGGGCGAGAATCAAAAATGAGCCTGGAGAGGAAAACTGGAAGTCACTGCTGGGTTTTAAAAAGGGAAAGGACAAGGGGCGCCTGGGTGGCGCAGTCGGTTGAGCGTCCGACTTCAGCCAGGTCACGATCTCGCGGTCCGGGAGTTCGAGCCCCGCGTCAGGCTCTGGGCTGATGGCTCAGAGCCTGGAGCCTGTTTCCGATTCTGTGTCTCCCTCTCTCTCTGCCCCTCCCCCGTTCATGCTCTGTCTCTCTCTGTCCCAAAAATAAATAAACGTTGAAAAAAAAAATTTAAAAAAAAAAAATAAAAAAAAAAATAAAAAGGGAAAGGACAGGATCGTGCCGCACAGGGTGGGAAGGGGAAGCAAGGAAATGAGCTCCCGAGTGCTTCTCCATAGGTCCTGGCGGAGACGCAGAAGGCTTACATGCGGTGGTAGTAGAAAGGGTGATAGCAGAGAGATTTAGAATATACTTTGAGGTGGAGTCAACAGGGCTCAAAAATAATTTGACGTGGGGATGGGGCTGAGAAAAAGAGAGGGATGATCCAGGACTCCTAGTTTTCTCGTTTAGATCATTTCCCTTAGTTTACTCCCTTCAAGGCTCTTACCACAATGAAAGCAACTTAAGCCATTCTCGCGTTATTTTATTTATGTGTTTATTCTGTGTCTAGAATAATCCTGTCCAACAGAAAAGTAATGGAAGCCACATACGTAATTTTAAGTTTACTAGTAACCACATTTAAAAAAAAAGGTGAAATTAATTTTAATGACATATTTCACTTAATTCAATCTATCTAGAATATTATTTCAGCAAGCAATCCGTATAAAAATTAATGAAAAATCTCACAGGTGTTTTGCAATACATTTGTATGTATTTTATGTCGACAGCACATCTCAATTCAGACTAGCCACATCGTGGGTCCCTAAAACTCACCTGTGGTTAGTGGCTACGTTCTAGACAGTGCACATCTAGTATGAGCCACCGAGGGGTAGGTCCATTCAGTCTAGTTCCTCTTTATCTCCTGCAACTGAAACATTCAGTGGCACCCAGTGAGTATTTGATATATTGCGGACGAGTGAATGAATGTCTGATGTTGGGGACTTATTCGAGGCAGTAGTTTTGGGGGTGGGGATCAAAGCTTCTACTTTGGACTGATTCTGTCCGAGGTATATCCGAGGCCTCTCAGGAGAGAAGTCAAGAAAAGAAGTAGATATGAAAGTGTGGGACCAAGAAGAAAAAAGAACTGGGTGGAGATGTGAATCAGGCACCTTGATGGGTAAACCCAAAGGCATTGTGGTGGATTATCTTGGGGAAGAGCACAGAGCAAAGAAAGGGCCCAGGACCTCATTCCCAGAGGTAAGAACATTTACATGTTAAGCGAGAGAAGAGGAAAATCAGGAAAGTGTGGCGGTGCCAACAATTTATAAGAGTAAGTGATTCAAGGAGAAAGGAGTGATAACTCTGCTTAGAGGTCAGGTATTAAAGAAAAAAAAAAGGTAGGAACATTGAGATCTTAACAACAATCTTACCACACATTCTACAGTCATGATCTCTTTTAAGCCCTCTTTACAATGCTTTGAGTCAAAAGGAGATTTTTTTTTTTTACTACAAAGAAATTTGGCCTCCAAAAGGTCAAGAAGCCTAACTAGTTTATGAAAGAACCAGATCTAGACCCTAAGACTCTTGGTCCATCGTTATTTACAGAACATATTTTAAAGCACTAGGCAAAACAAGAAACCATGGAGGTTTATAGAAAAAGAGTGACTATCTGTGACTTCGCCAGGTCTAGCTAGGTGTTTTGAGAATAAATGTACATTTGGCATCATCTTTCAAGTATGGGGCTGGGCCAAGATTACATGATTAGGATTTCTTGGGAGATCCGTAAGTGCCTTCTGCCCTTCATTTATAACACCTAGAATTCTTACCACGCTGTTGGTCATAGGACCCTATTTCTCAGCCTATCTTAGGCAATGCAATAATACTCCCTCTGTGCCGTAATGTAAATTAATAACTTCATTCAAGAAAAAGATCATCTGCAAACATTCTTCAAGTGCGTTGCTATAGGTAAATTAAGCTTTCTTTGCTGCCTTTCAAAACACAGAAAGAAGGAAATGCTCTAGTTTAAACTCTATGGCTAATAGTTGCATGACCTTGAATAAGACCTTTTCTGTGCCTCGTTGTTCTTATCGACAGAACAGGGAAGTTAAATCAGATGATCTGTAGTTCTTAAGATAACTTATGACTTAATGTTATAGTTAATCAGCATTAACTTTGTCCAGATATTGAACTTCCAATTTGATCAGTGTGTGAAGATCATCCCAAAGGAAGTCAAGAAATTTAGGAATGAATTCCAAATGCACCACCAGATAGACATGTAATCATGCGACAGGGAATAATCTCTTTCGTCTTATGTTAATGGCATAACAACTCTCCTCATCATTTCTCGGGGTTTGTTTGGAGGACTGAACCAGGTAAATCACGTGAATATGTTTCATAATCTGTATACTAGGAGAGAAATTAGAAGTGTAATTACTGTTAGAGTAGATCTTTGAAACACTGAGTTATCATTCCCAAGTATCGGGCTGCGTCCCTGTCACTGATCCTTAGGGCATGTGACGTTACTTTAGTTATGATAGGTTTTGGTATTGGAATACGCTCACTGTGAGACCCTACAGTGGTAGGATCTGATCTCCAGAGAGCGCCTATCTTTGAACGTTTACAAGAACACAATGGGATACACCAAAAAGAAACAAGAAAGAAAGTGGGAAGGAGGGAATTCGCGGGCAGAAGAGGAAGAAAGGCAAAGGCAAGGTCGAGTTCGGGAAATCAAAGGCGAGTCCAAAGAAGCAGCAACGATCGGGAGGGGTAGTGGGAACCGCAGGGCAGGAGCCGGAGTCAGTTAGTTGAGGGGCACGGGTGGTGGCGAATGAGTGGCTAGTCCGGTGACTCGCCAAAGCGGCACCCGGGCGGAGGAGGGGGAACAGGAGGGTGGGGCTTGGCGAAGGGCAAAGGCAGGGCAAGACTTAAAAGGGAGATGACCCCAGCTAGTTGATGCCACCAGTGACTCCAGACGCCCCGGGCGAGGGGACCCCACGAGGGACCGCGGCGGGAAAGGCCCGCCGCTGGGGCAGCCTCGCGAGGCAGGCGCTCGCAGGCGAGAGGGAGAGCCGAGGAGCGCCCGGCTGCCGCGCCACCATGTGCGAGCTGTACAGCAAGCAGGACACCCTGGCGCTGAGGAGGAAGCACATCGGGTGAGGGCTCGGTAACTAGCGCCAGGGGCGGGGAGCCGAAGCGGGGCAGGTAGCGGGCGAGCAAGAACGCGGCGGGCCGAGGCCCCCCGGGGCGGTGGCCCGCCGAGCGCGAGACACCGCCGCCCGGCAGCCGCACCTGCGCACTCGCGCCGCAGCCCGCCCGCCGCGCCAGCTCCCGGTGCCCGCCGCGCCTCCGCCGGGAGAGAACGCCGCCAGCCTGCTCCCGCGCAGTCCGGGCGCTCTGCCCCCTGCCGCTGCCTGGGAGCTGCCGGCGGCTGCGAGAGTTGTCCCACGAGGGTTAATAGATCTAGGAGGGGAACTATTCCAGGGATGGGGGCTGAGACGGAGATGGGTAGCCCTGCGCCAAATCCCACAACCCGAAAGCTCTCAAAACTGTGAACTCAAAGATATTTTTAAATTTTTTTTTTAAATCTTTATTTATTTTTCAGAGAGAGAGAGAGAGAGAATTTGAGCTGGGGAGGAACAGAGACAGACAGACAGAATCCCAAGCGGGCTCCAAGCTCTAACCTGTCAGCGCATAGCCCATTCTCCGGGCTCAGACTCACCAACCCGAAGATCATGACCTGAGCCTGAGCAGAAGTCGGGTGTTTAACCGACTGAGCCACCCAGGCGCCCCTCAAAAATATTTTCGACAGTGGCTATGAAAACAAACTAATTCTGACAAGTTTTGTTTAGAGTGAACTTTTTCTTCTTGCTTGCGTGGTTAGGAGATAAAGGGTTAATCCAGCCAGAAGAAAACCTTAAAAGACACTTTAAGGGTAAAATAAGCTGTGCCCTCATTACAATGAAAAAATGCAATGTTCTTTCCAGTCTCCTTTTGTTTTGCGCGTGTTATAAACGACTCAGTAAAATACCGGTAAGCGTACAGCACTGAATGTTAGGTCAGACCTGGGCTCTGGTCCTAGTAGGGTGTCATGTTACCTGTGTGACCTCTGTCAGATTACTTTAATTTCCTCTTCTGTGGGAGTAGGAATAACATTCTGCTTCACAGGAGTGAGCAAGTGAGATTAATAAGCATGATCTGATTTCTAAAAAGGCACATGTAAATATAGATGATGATTGTGGCCACTGTAAAATCAAAGGCCTGCAATACTCACATGTAATTAACAAGCACTGTCATGGGTAAACTTGAGAGAGGACTAGGGACGCAAGAAAGAAAAGAACTAGTATCTACTTCTGAGAAATGCTAGGCGGTTGCTCCTACTGGTCTCCTGGTCTCAACCCAGACGTTTCTAGATGGCCTGTTGGGAGATTGCTTGGAAGGAACTCTCTCAACCCGGCATAGCGGAAGCCAAAATGGTCCCATTCCTCCCACCCCCTTGTCTTTTTCTGTTAGTTTTCAATCCTATATAATTAGATTCCAGGGAAAAGCCAATGGTTTCTAGTGTGAGCAGAAGAAATTTTGGGAAAGGAGGAATATCACCATGGACAGCCCTGAAGAATTTTACCTGAAGTCTGAGTGCAACGTGTAAAGTACTGTTAGCAAGGGAGGATGAAGTCTGCAGTTACTAGCCCACACTCATGACAAAGGTTTCCTTTGGCTTTTAACGGGGAGTATAAACTAACAGTTGGGTTTGAGCTAATAAGAAATTCTCATTAAATATTAGTTTCCTGGGGCGCCTGGGTGGCGCAGTCGGTTAAGCGTCCGACTTCAGCCAGGTCACGATCTCACGGTCCGTGAGTTCGAGCCCCGCGTCAGGCTCTGGGCTGATGGCTCGGAGCCTGGAGCCTGTTTCCGGTTCTGTGTCTCCCTCTCTCTCTGCCCCTCCCCCGTTCATGCTCTGTTTCTGTCTGTCCCATAAATAAATAAATAAAAACGTTGAAAAAAAAAATTTAAATATTAGTTTCCTTTTAACTGACGATACTTAATCTGAGGCAATTTTAAATTAAGATTACCTATATATAATAATTAAAATACTTTCTAAAGTATTTTACTTTACTTATACGCAATAAGTAAAACACTTTCAATTTAATATGTAAGCATTTCATTACCTTCCAAAATACCTCCAATGCATGTGGCACTTTTTTGTGCATGCAAAATCACCAAAATAAAAATAATATATTCTATTTTATTTTCTACATATCCATATGGATATGTAGAACATCTCAAACTTTTGTGATGTTTCTATGTTACTAAAATTTATACTCCAGGCATTCTAAAATTTATATTCCAGACATTCATCCAAGTAACCCAAAATATGGATGACTTTTTATTATGCTCAAAATAATGGATTAAGGGATTAGAAGAATAATTGGATTTCATTATTTAAGAATGGAAAATCCATTTGATACAGGACAAGTACCACTCAAAAGACATGGGAATGGTCTCCTATAAAATCTCTTTTATAGTATTTAATACCAATTTATTTATATTTAGCTTTTAGTGCTATTCATTTCTTATCAATTAGATCAGAAAGGGAGAGGGAGAAAACAAGCAGATACTGACTTGGGCTATGGTATTAGGACAGTCTACTATCAAATTCAGGGTTTTTTTTTCACTTGTTGGCTGTGTAATCTTGAACAAGTGTCTTGATTTTTCTGAGCCTCAGTTTCCTCACCTATAAAAATGAGAATGATAATAACCCTATTTCATATGATTGTCGGGAGGATTAAATATTTGTAATATTTATCAGTTCCTGAACATAGTCAACCTCAAAAAAAAAAAAGTTTTTTGTTTTTTTGTTTTTTTTTTCTGGTAGAACAAAACTTCCCAAAGGAAAATTAGTTATTGGTTGGTGTAATTAGAGCTGTCAGAGTTGATCCATGTGCCTCTAAACCGAGTTGTCAAATCATGGCAAATTTCATATCACAAATACATGAAATATATGAGCAGGGTCACGAATGGGGGATTAAGGTGAAAGGTTCCAGGCTAATATGAAAAAAATTTTTTTAAATGTATGTCACCCAGGTTGTGTTTCTCTTTCCTTTATGTAACTGTAATTTTCCACTGATCATGACCTTCATTGAAAAGGAAAAACACTGAGCAGTCCTTCCAGACCAACGTGTTTCCTTTCATTATCTCTAGGCCCTCATGCAAATTGTTCTTCGCTGCGGATCCCATCAAAATAGTGCGAGCCCAGGGGCAGTACATGTTTGACGAGAGAGGTGAACAGTACCTGGACTGCATCAACAACGTGGCGCACGGTACATGTCCTGTCTTTGTTGTGCCGTGAAGGATACATTTGTGGAGTAAGGCAGACAGAGCACCATTGATATGTGTCCCAGGAATTGCAATGGCTGCAGCTCCTTGGCTGAATGGGGTCAGTCGTCCCTGCCAGGAAAAGTTACGGAGCAACGTGGGAGAGAAGGAAGCTCAACTTTTTCTTTTTCTCTTTTTCTTGCTTCAGAATCCCCCTCACTGCCCAGGAATTTAAAATTGTAATTTCTTTGTTTGTTTGTTTGCTTTGTCTTCTAAATTCTAGTGGGACACTGTCACCCGGAAGTGGTCACGGCTGCCCTGAAACAGATGGAACTGCTAAACACAAATTCTCGATTCCTTCATGACAATATTGTTGAGTATGCCAGGCGCCTTTCAGCAACCCTGCCGGAGACGCTCTCTGTTTGCTATTTTACAAACTCAGGGTATGTTTCAAAGTTTCCCACCCACCCCCATTCCCGCTCATCTCTTTGTTTACTCTCTCACACGTATCTTTCTTTTTGATTTGTGGTGGAGCGCAGACGTCTAAAAAGTTTTTCTGAGATTCTTGCCACTTATTAAGTGAACACACGCGGGGGCCCTGATGGTTCAGTTTTCTTCTGCTTTTGCTCCATGAGCTTGTGGACGGCATGCTCCGGGGTTTTTGGCACAGCCACTGATGATTAACATGTGCATGTTACTCAACTTTTTATTACCAGGGCTTCCCTTGGTGAAAGGTAAGAAAAGCATATCTAGAATGCTTTAGTATCCCTAAAGGAGAGACACCTGGGTTGTAACCCTGGCAAAAATATCCAAGCTGGTTCTCACGTGACAAAACCTAACCAGTCGTATGACAGTCACCTCTTCAGACACTAGAGGAAGCAGCTAAAAAAAATCGATAGGGACCCCCTGCCTGGGTCGTTCAGCCTCTTAAGCCTCGGATTCTTGATTTCCGCTCAGTCATGACCTCATGTTCTGGTGAGTTGGAGACCCACATCCTGCGGAGCCTGCATGGGATTCTCTCTCTCTCTCTGCCCCTCCCCTGCTCACCCTGTCTCTCTCAAAATAAATAAATAAAACATTAAAAAAAAATTTTTTTTAAATAAAGGAGCGCCTGGGTGGCCCAGTCGGTTAAGCATCTGACTTCAGCTCACGTTGGGCTCTGTATAAACAGCTCAGAGCCTGGACCCTGCTTCAGATTCTGTGTCTCCCTCTCTGCCCTCCCCCACTCATACTCTGTCTCTCTCTCTCTCTCAAAAGTAAATAAACATTTAAAAAAAATTTTAAAAATCAATAAGGCCCGGACAGTTTTTTTGAAGCACGAATAATGGATTTCAGCAAAGAAGGAATTCTACTAAACGGATATAACTTTTGTAAGACTTTTGTTAAATTTTTTTTAATGTTTACTTATTTTTTGAGAGAGAAATAGAGGGTGAGCAGGGGAGGGGCAGAGAGAGAGGGAGACACAGAATCTGAAGCAGGCTCCAGGCTCTGAACTGTCAGCATAGAGCCCGATGTGGGGCTCGAACTCACGAACCGTGAGATCATAACCTGAGCTAACGTCGGACGCTTAACTGACTGAGCCACCCAGGCGCCCCTGTAAGACTTTTGATTGACTTGTTTTCTTAGGCAATTAAACATTTCCCTAACACAAGTACAAAAAAAGGAAGGACTAAATTCAAAAGAATAGATATGTTCCAACTTTTAAGTTCCGTAAATTCAAGTTATTCTGTATCTATTCTATGGAATATTCTGCAGACGTTAAAAATATGTGTTTGAAAATACATTTATAGTGACATGTGAAAAGCTCACAATGCAATATTATATTGGGAGGAGACCTGTACATACAGCATTAAACTCATATTTTAAAAATTATGTGTATGTATATATGATTAAAACTATTAGAAATTCTGTAACTGTTTGATCATATGATATTGTGATTCACATTTCTCTTTTCAATGAGATTTTAAAACCAATTTTGTAGGCAGAAGATCATTCCTTTTTCTTTGTAAAGAATGAAGAAATTTTAGGATCCAATTTGTTGTTATAAAGCATTTCTTTGCCTTCAATGAATTAAATACCATAATATTTGCCTTTCACTTCTAAAGAATCCTACACTGTCAAAAAGGGATTGCTTCCAAGAGCACTGTCACCAGAGACTGGAGGCAGCAGAGCCTGGGACGGTACAAAGCATAATCCTGAAGTTAAACGGTCTGAATGCTGGCTCTACCTCTTATTAGCTGTGAGAGCTTATTAGCTGTGAGAGCTCAGAGAGCTCCTTAACCTCTCTGAGGCATTGCTTCATCCATACAAAGGAGACAGCAGCCCCCGCCATACAGAGGAGTTCTGAGAATAAATGCAACCAAAACTCTCCATATGATGTCTGGCAGAGAGCAAACATCCCACAAATGATTATTTTCTTCCTCTGTGTCTGAGTAGTATATTTAGACTGCCAAAACCAGAAAGAAAAATTATGATCTTCATTTTATCAATGAGGAGCTGATCAAATATTGGGTCAGTAGAACTTAGTTTTGTGGTCCAATTAAGGGGCTGTCGCACTGCCATTCCTCCGAGATGAGGCTTAACGTGGGCTTCCTGACATCCTCCAAGTCCGCCACCTACTAATGTGGCTGAACTAGGCTGAAATTGGAACTGAGCAGCATATCCTTTGAATTGGGTTTCTTTTGTGTGTCTCATTCCTTATTGAAGACCTCTGGGGAACTTGTATTAGAAGGATGAAGTGAGATTTGCTGGGTGAGCAAGACTGAAGGGGAAAGAGAGGACTGCAACTTACTTCTCCATCCATTTCTGAATAACTGGGATCTTACAACTTTGGTAATTAACATTTTGAAACTTTTTTTTTTTTAAGCTTATGTCATGTTGATCCCTGTCTCTGTGTTATCTTAGATCTGAAGCCAATGACTTAGCCTTACGCTTGGCTCGGCAGTTCAGAGGCCACCAAGATGTGATCACTCTTGACCAGTAAGTTTTGGATGCAAGACTTCTAAGCAAGAAGCTCCTTCAGACACAAAATCGTATTGGTCCTGTCCATACCAAATACCACAAGCCCATGTGGAGGAGGGTGGCACAATGATTTTTATTCTGTATTAAGGTATCAAGGCCAGCTTAGGCCTGGAGAATACCTAATTCTGTTGAAGTTCCTGCAAATGGGGGAGGATCTCTTGGATGCTGTGGTCATGGCTAATGGGCTTTGCATGAATCAGGGCTTGCTTTTTACACATTAACTGTTTGTTGAGCCACCACACTACATAACTCAATTGTTCTCAAAATAAAAACATAACTGATGTCTTAAAACTCTATACATTCTCATCATTATTGTGATTATCCACTGTAATTAATTTAAAAGATAATGATTTAGGGCAAATTAAAAAAAATTAATGTTATTTATTTATTTTTGAGAGAGAAAGAAAGCACAAGCTAGGGAGGGGCAGAGAGAGAGGGAGACACAGAAACCCAAGCAGGCTTCAGGCTCCAAGCTGTCAGTGCAGAGTTCAGCGCTGGGCTCTAACTCACGAACCTTAAGATCATGACCTGAGCCGAAGCCGGATGCTTAACCAACTGAGCCACCCAGGGACCCCAACAATTTAGGACAAATTTCTTATTTTAGAAACCAAGTAAAAGATAGTACTTTCTGCTTAGTTTGTGACTATTAACAGTCATTTAATCTCACCTTCTAAACATGAATTTTTACATTTAAACAAGAAAGCTGACAACCTCCATTCCTTATTAAGATTTTTTCTTTTAATTTTTTTTCTACCTCTCCACTAATATCAGACGCAGAAGCTTAAATTGAACTTCTTCTTCATTTCTTGCCCTTATACAGGCTTCTCTTGTTTTACGTGCTGAGTGGCATATTCATTTTCTATTGTTGCTATAACAGATTACTACAGATTTAGTGGCTAAAGCAACACAAACGTATTCTCTCACAGAGAGAATAGGTCAGAAATCCAAAATGGGTCTCGTGGGGCCAATATCAAGGTGTCAACAGAACTGTGCTCCTTCTGAAGGCTCCTTCTGTTTTCTTGCCTTGCTGGGCTTCAAGAGGCTGCCTGCATTCCTTGCTTGGAGTCCCTCCCTTCCACCGCCCTGCCCCCCCTTCCATCCTCAACCTCTGACCACCAACCCCCTGCCTCCTCCTTTCACTTGTGAAGACACCTGTGATTACATTGACTCTCTAGGATTATCTCTCCATCTCAAGATTCTTAATTTATTCACATCTGCAAGGTTCCCTTTGCCATGTATCATATTCCTAGATTCCAAGGACTAGAATGTGGGCATCTGGCGGGGGGGGGGGGGGGGGGGGGGGGTGCATTGTTCTGCCTACCACAGTTGATTTGTTGGTTCTTTTTAAATTTCCATTCTCCCTCACCTATAGACAGCTATTCTAATGTGTCTAGTGTATATCTTTTATTTTTGTGTTCTTATATATTATATTTCGTGAATCTGTTTTAATTTTATAAAAATTGTCATAGATCTTTTTCTGTTTCAAACTTTCCCCTCAGCACTGTTTCAAGACTATATTGCTAGATGTACATCTATTTTTCTAATTCAGTGCGGTCTGATAGAAATATGTGAGCCACATAGGACATTTAAATTTTTCCAGTAGCCAATATATTTGCAAATATCATTCCAATAGTTAATCAATGTAAGATATATTGAGATTTCTCTTTTTCTTAAAATTTTTTTAACATTTATTTATTTTTGAGGGAGAGAGACACACAGAGCTTGAATGGAGGAGGGTCAGAGAGAGAGGAAGACAGAGAACCCAAAGCAGGCTTCAGGCTGTGAGCTGTCAGCACGGAGCCTGATGTGGGGCTTGAACTCATAAATGGTGAGATCAGACCTGAACCGAAGTCAGATGCTGAACAGACTGAGCCACCCACGTGCCCCTCTTTTTTCATATTTTAAATCTTTAAATCCAGTGTATGTTTTACACTTATTGCACATCTCAATTCAGAGCCAATGCATTTTAGGTGCTCAGTAGCTACATGTGGTTCCCCCCACTGATGGATACTGTCACTGTCCGTTGCTCCTAGCTACCACAAGTAGGTCTGCAATGAGCATCCTTGTACATGTGCCCTTATGGACCTTTCTAAGAAGTGCTTAGGGATAAACACCCAGAAACAGGATTGCTAGTCCATAGGCGTACTGTGGTCCTAATGTGATTAAATACTACCAGATCAGTTTCCAGAATGGTTGCAACACTCTACACAGTGCATGAAATTTTCCATTTCCCTCTATCCCCACCCAAACCTAATAGTATTCTGCTTTCTCGTTTTTTTTTTTTTCTAATTTTGGCCAGTCCAGTGACTATAAAGTGATATCAATGTTGTCTTAACTTTGCAGCCTTCTAATGATGAGTTTGAGTATCTCTTCATAAACTTACATGCATTTGTGATTTCTCTTCTGAGAATGACTTGTTCATGTTCTTTGCCCATTTTTCTGTTGGGGTTCCCATCCTTTTCTTGTTGGTTTGTGTTTACTTGTATTGTCTAGATCAAAACATCTCAACCTTGACTGTGTCTTAAAATTACCTAGGAAATTTCTTTAAATGCCAGTGCCTGGGCCCCACCCCAGACCAAGTAAAGAAAATCAGAAGTATATATTTTTAAGTTTCCCAAGTGATTCTACTATGCAGGCAGAGTTAATCTCTCACCATAGAGTTAATCTCTTTTAGTTTGAGACATTTCAAATATCCTTTCCTGCCCTATCATCTGTCTTTTAGCTTTGTCCATGATATCCTTCAACAGGAATCTTTAATTTTGATCAAATCAAATAGATAAAATTTTCATTGTACAATTTGTGTCTTCTAAGTTTTGCTAATATCTCTCCCTCTACACCCACTGCACTCCCCATATCATGAAAATGTTCTTCATTTTCTTCTGCTGCCTTGTATGAAACCCACCTGGTGTCCACTGTGTTACATTTATGTGTGGATGTGTCTCTGAGGTCCTTTTCTGCCCCAGTCTTCTCCTTGTTCTTATTCTGCATACTAACTTTATTACTATGGCTTTGTAGCATGCGTTAATCTATGCTAAGGGAAGTCTTCTCTCTTTGTTTTATCTATTCCTGGGCTTTTTAAAATTTCTTTTCCAGATCTCTTAATTATTCCTTTGGGAAAGAAACAGAAAAGGGTATATTATAGCCACCTGTATTTTAAGTGAGAGAAAGGAATCTCATAGCCACTTGGCTACCTCTCAATCTGAGTTCTTCTTGAAGAGATCTCATGCTCTTCCTGACTTGTATTTGGCCAGCCTATGCAATCAGACATCCCACAGAAACCATTCCAGACAGAAACACAGCCCATTCTGGGATATGAAGTTATTTTTAAAATTTACTAGAACGTAACTGTCAAATACATTTAAAGAATACATACTTACAAAGTTTTTCATGAAGCTATAGAAAATAATTTTTTACATGTAGACAATATAATGTAGTACATCTAATATCATCCTAAGAAATTAAGGGTTTTTTTCCTGTTGAAAAAAAAATTGTCTATGAGGACACATACTTGGTTTCCTATGTGTTTTATTACATGAATAAGGAGAACTGGACAAATTAAATGGCCAGTCTTGCCATGAAAACTTAGATCCTGTAGAATTAAATCTGGCACCAAGGTTTAGATTCTCCCCGGATGATTAGGAATACTGGTTTTCATACACTACATAAACATCCTTTGCTGAGTGATGTTGGTTACTGTTCTTTTTCTTTTCAGTGCTTACCATGGTCACCTATCATCTTTAATTGAGATCAGTCCATACAAATTCCGAAAGGGCAAAGATGTCAAAAAAGAATTTGTGCATGTGGTAAGTATCTTAGAATCCAAGAATCAGAAAGTTAGAACTGGAAGAATGCCTAGTGATAATCCAGTCCGATCCTTTCATCAAAATAAAACTATGAAAAAGAAACAAAGATTTAAAGCAGTTATGTGACTTACTAAAGTCAAAAGGCTAGTTAATGACAGGATGTGGTTTAAAATCCATTGATGAGTGTCACAATGAGCAAATTAGTATAGTTGTAGTGAAAGCTAGTATTTACAGTTGTCATTTTATTTTATTTTATTTTATTTTATTTTATTTTATTTTAGCTTTTGGTCTTCAATTACTTTTTCTGTCACTGATGCCAGCTTGAAATTCAGAGTTGAATCTACTGTGTATGAATGTCTTAAAATTAAATTGCTCTATGCTAAATTATTATACAGAGTTATGAAGTAAAATAAATAGGAAAGACAATAAAGAAATCAATCAAATTGTTGAAGCATTAAAACAGAGCTCAACTCAGGGTTCGAACCTGTGAACCGTGAGATCATGATGTGAGCCGAAATCAAGATTTGGACGCTTCACTGACTGAGCCACCCAGACACCCCGAAATGCCTTTTTTTTAAGGCTCATTTGTCCGAGAAGTAAATCTTGAGAAACTCTACCATTTGATTGTTTTCAGGCACCAACTCCAGATACTTACAGAGGAAAATACAGAGAAGATCATGCAGACCCAGCCGGCGCTTATGCAGATGAAGTGAAGAAAATTATTGAAGAAGCTCATAACAGTGGAAGGAAGGTTGGTATTTGCAGCTTTGAAAACACCTTAACATTGTTTATAAGATGGATTGAAATCATTGTGAGAATTGGAGAGGCGAAAAGGGTTAGAGCGCAATGCCCTTTTTGTTCTTCTCTGCTTACATTTCACTTGGTTCATATTTTTTAAAGTTCATTATTATAATCATGCCTCTAAAACTATCTATTTTTATTTATTCTAGAAATGCAATCACTATGGCTTAATTCTCCCCTTCTCAGTGGGAGGCAGACTATGGTCCAAAGGGGTAGGGGAGGAGAGGATTAGGAAAGACTCTTCCAAATGATGGAGGGAGGGGGAGAAACAGTGGTCCTGGGACCTCAGAACCAGTGCAGGCTCCCAGGCCCAGGACGCCTTGGTGCTTCCCTTGAACTGGTTCAACTGTCCCGAAGCTGCACAGCCCGGGTTAGCCAAGGCAGAAAAGATGTTTCTCCAATCTGAACCTAGACTTCTAAGACAGCACCAGAATCCCCCAGAGTAAGTTTCCATTTTCTCAGTCGTCACCCTACTAGCTTGACATCAATTCTCAGCCCATTTGGGGGTTACTTATGTGCTTTGCCTTGAATGTTTATTTATTTTTGAGAGAGAGACACACACACACACACACAGACAGAGACAGAGAGACAGAGCACGAGTAGGGGAGGGGCAGAGAGAGAGGGAGACACAGAATCCGAAGCAGGCTCCAGGCTCCCAGCTGTCAGCATGGAACCCGACGCAGGGCTTGAACTCAGGAACTGCGAGATCATGACCTGAGCCGAAGTCCGACAGGACACTTAACCAACTGAGTCACCCAGGCGCCCTGACATGTGCTTTGCGTTTAAACTGGCTTATGGCATCAACATGGCAATAAAGAAAACCTCCATTTTGATGAAAAGGAAGTCTTTGCTTTTTCCAATTCAAATATTTTTATCTTAGTGCCTGGAGAGTCATTTGCATTTCTTAACTGTTTTCTTTCCATTCTGTTCATTTTCCATATCTTCAGATGTGCTATCTGCGCAGCTAGCCCTCAGCTCTACCTGTTGTGGGGAGCTTCATATGCTTTCCTTTTTGTTTGTTTGTTTTATTTTGTTTTGTTTTGTTTTTTGGCTTTTCTTATTCAAGCATAGCCTATTCTTCTTTACACAAACGGTAAACAGTTCTTCCAGGGAAATGCTTACATTATTAAGATCACATGGTCTTTTTGCCTGCTGCAAAGGTTCCCATAGCTTTTGGAGCACATTAGCATTCAGTAGCTATTGAACTGATGCTTTCCTGTTAAGAATGCTGAAAGCAATGAGCAAATAGAAGATGGATGCTTCAGAATATTAGATGTGCTTACAAGGTCCGGGAATTTTAGAGAAGCAATCTCCTAAGTCCAGTGGCTTCATGTTATAGCTAGTAAATGAAATATTCCAAAGGGAAGAACGTAAGCCAAGGTAATAGAGTTACTAAGATGTAGTCTGGTTCTCTTGACTTCATATCTCATACTATGTCTATGCTTTCTCCGCTTGATTCAGTGTTATCTATTTTCTGCCCCCCATTTTCTTCCCCTCCAGAGCATTCCATCTGCAGTTCCTTTTGTGAACTGCCTAATTCCGTTGAGTTAAGCCTGGGTCAGGGTAAGAACTAGAAATAAGGCGCAGTAACTAAAGCGCGTGGCCACAAGTCGCTCTCCCCTTTCCTTAGAGCAGATTCCGGGTGCAAGCAATCCTCATTCACCAAGCTGAGGAAACAGGCACCACAGGAATGGGTTTAGAAACTGGGTAATTTTTTAGAAGTTCATATCAAAGACTGATCCAAACATCATTCTCGTTCAGCCAGTCCTCATGAAAACACTGCATTTAAATTAGTAACAGAGAAATGGAAGTCGCCCTCTCCACCGTTCCGCTGGTACTGTGGAATTTCCGAAACTGATGCTTCAGATCAGTTTGCATTTCCAGCATGGACATCTTTTCTTGGTCATCAAATGGCCTGTCTGACACCTGCCACAGGCACATTCCCACCCAAAATAACCTGCTCTATAAAAAGTCCTCGTTTTTAGGGGGTTCAAGGGGAACCTAATGGACTTTGACCCCATCTTCTCTTGTGTAGATTGCTGCCTTTATTGCTGAATCCATGCAGAGTTGTGGCGGACAAATAATTCCTCCAGCAGGCTACTTCCAGAAAGTGGCAGAGTATGTACTTGACTTGGGCATCCTTGGTCAGACTGAAGGCTCTGTGACAGTTCTACAAGGCCATACTGGTTAAAATATTGAAGTACTTGCAGACTAGCTGGTGAAGAGCCACTTAGGCATGCCTGCCACACCAGGACTCCCCAGAGCCCCTCCACCTTTCCAAGATCCAGCAAATAAAGGGTGTATGTGGTCCAGCAGGGGGCCTCCAGGACCCTGCTCCATTCCCCAGCCTGGCATCCTCTCTGGCTGGTGCCCATGCTTACCAATCAGTAAAATTGGAAGATTAACCCTGCTAAACACTACTGGTTCACTTCTTTCTCTTCCCACTTAAAATGCCACAGTACAGCTTACATCAAGCAGCACAAACCTCCATAATATAGAACATGTCTAGTCTGGAAATAATGTGATTATATTGCAAAGTCAGTGACATCACATAGATGCTTTGGGGATTTGAGCGCTGAAATGTTTTTGACAACGATTACAAACCTCAAGTTAACGACATTTTTTCAAGTCCTCCATAATCTATATCTTCGTGGGTGGGTTTGGGGACCCTCCGTGATCCGAAGGCATTAGATTTCCTTTTTGCTTTTCAGATATGTACACAGAGCAGGAGGTGTGTTTATAGCTGATGAAGTTCAGGTGGGCTTTGGCCGAGTTGGGAAACATTTCTGGAGCTTCCAAATGCATGGTGAAGATTTTGTTCCAGACATTGTCACAATGGGGAAACCAATGGGCAATGGCCACCCAATGGCATGCGTTGTAACAACCAAAGAAATTGCAGAGGCCTTCAGCAGTTCTGGGATGGAATACTTCAATACGGTAAATTTTGGCCTCCCAGTTTATGCTAAGAGGGAAAAATAATGCATGTTCTTACACTTCTTGCCAATGTAGTAAAGAATAAAGTTCAGTATTGCCAGCTAACCACCCCAGGACACTAGCCAAACTTGGATCTAACCATATTTCATTCTGTCTGGCATAATTCTTGTATTTTTCCTTGTGTATCTTTCCCCTTCCTAAAATGATTAATTGTTCTTGTAATAAATGGTTGCTTTACTAAACTCTACAGGTTATGTTTCACTCATAGATAATATGATCGCCTTTATTTTGTATCACATTTAAATTCCCCAAGCATTTCTAAAGTGTTTAGATGATACAGTACTATAAATGTTATATGGCTGTCACAGGAGATACTAAATTTTCTATCTTTGGGAAATTTTATTTCCTTGGTTTTACCCCCAAAAGTCATGAACTTTAAGCTTGGAAAAATTATTATAGTTTGTGCAGTACGTGTATTAGTACTTGTGACAACTAATAGTAAGATTCAAACCGAGGACATAAATTATTTGGAGAAAATGTCATTGCGTAGCTGTTTTCACACAACTGTTCAGGGACCGAAGTCCACATCCCCCTCACTGAACCACATTCTGAAATTCTTGGTTCCCAACGCAGTGTCTCGTTTTTGTTTGGATGAACTAATAAATTCCATGATAGTCCTTCATACCAATTATGCGGCATGGAGACTATGATTCGGAATGAATTTTCACTCAGTCGTAAATAAACAGAATCACACTATATCCTAAATCTAACAAGTTTGCATCACAAGAGAAAAACTTCTTGAAATTATATCTTTATCTGCTTATGTACGAGCCAAATTTCTCATAGATGAAGCAATACCACTAATTCAACTACTATGTTTTTATCTTTTTTCTGCAGTATGGAGGAAATCCAGTATCTTCTGCTATTGGTTTGGCTGTCCTGAATGTAATTGAAAGTGAAGACCTTCAAGGAAATGCCACAAGAGTGGGGGATTATCTTACTGAATTACTCAATAAACAGAAGGCTAAACATACTTTAATAGGAGATATCAGGTGTGCTTATCATGAGATTGTCATATGGTTATTCACTTTTCCAAATGAAAATAACTTATCTTATAAACTTAAAATAAATTACATAAAATTTAATCTAGAAAATACTGAAAAACATAAAAAACAAAATTTGTTCTTTATCCAGAACCTTGATATCACCACTGTTAACTTTTGGGTGTATACCTTTCTTGACTTTTATACTTCAATAAATAAATAAATAAATAAATAAATAAAGTCGGTATAATTTCAGCCTGTAAAAGATGAGAAGAAGGAACTTAAAGTAATTCTAAATAATTTTTCAAAAATTATTGAAAATGACATCCTGGAGGGGCGCCTGGATGGCTCAGTAGGTTAATCATCCAACTGCGGCTCAGATCATGATCTCAAGGTTCACGGGTTCGAGCCCCACATTGGGCTCTCTGCCCTAACACGGAACCTGCTTCTGAGCTCTGTACCCCCTTCTCTCTTTGCTCCTCCCCCACTCATTCTCTCTCTCAAAAATAAACATTAAATAAATAAATAAATAAATAAATAAATAAATAAAATGACATCCCAGAAAACTTGATATTTTTCATAGATATATATAAACTTTACATATTTATCATCATTAATGTCCTGAGAAGCTAAGTAGTATGAGAAGGTTGTCTTTAAGAATTTTCTTTTACAATTAAATAAAGAAAAAAAAAGCTGAATGAGAAAAACAACTTGGTTCAAAAACTAGAAAGACCTGTGACAGTGGGTTGGTATCTTGGATTAGTTAGAATCAATAACAGTTACCCCTACAGGGAATCATATCCAGCTTCAAATGAAAATGAGGTTTGGGGACAATGTTAATCTTTTGTGACAGTGCAGTGTCTGATAGAGTATCTGTCAAGTTTTCTTTCTTTACTTTCCTCAGGGGCATTGGCCTGTTTATCGGAATTGACTTGGTGAAGGACCAGCAGAAAAGGACCCCCGCCACAGATGAGGCTCAACATGTCATCTACAAGTAAATACACCCCCACACCTGACTGGTGTCCTGGCTTGAAAGATGCCCCCCCCCCCCCCCCCATTTGAAAGCTTCCTTTACTTCCTCCCACCTCTCCAAATAAGGGAAGTTTGAGACACGTGCATGAGAATATTGAACTGCTCTGTGTTCACATCATTCTTTTTTTCTTTTCTTTTCTTTTTCTCTCTAGAGAGGGAGGGAACCTTTTTGCAAGCAGGGGAGGGGAAGAGAGCGAGGGAGACAGAGAATCCCAAGCAGGTTCTGTGCGATCAGTGTGGAGCCCAATGCGGGGCTGGATCTCTCGACCCTGAGATCATGACCAGAGCTGAAATCAAGAGTCGATGCTTAACTGAGCCACCCAGGCACCCCTACATCATTCTTAAATAATCTTAGTTACCATTTGTGTGCACTCACATATATTTCCTGCACTAATTAGGATGAAAGAAAAGCAAGTGCTTCTCAGTGCCGACGGACCTCATAGAAATGTGCTTAAAATAAAACCACCTATGTGCTTCACTGAAGAAGATGCCAAGTTTATGGTGGACCAACTCGATGAGATTCTAACAGGTCTGTTCACAGATGTTTAAGATGCCACCCTGTCCCACACCCAGTCATACATGACTGTGCTTGTTCTTCATGACAGAAGTGAAGGCAGTTGGAAATGAACATATGACTTTGTATATAGAACTAGAAAAAGAAAATAATAACTATGTAGACTCTTAGTTAAATCAAAAATTTCTGTTTGCACTCCCGTAACTACAGATCTAGGTTTTTAAGGAACTGACACAACTTTATTTTTATTGGTTCTCACTTTTTTTAAAGTTTATTTTATTTATTTTTGACAGAGAGAGAGAGAGAGTGGAGGAGGGGCAGAGAGCAAGGGAGAGAGAGAAAATACCAAGCCCCAACTCAGAGCTCGATCCCACAAACTGTGAGATCATGACCTGAGCCGAAATCGGCTGAACCTGAGCTGAAACCTGAGCTGAAGTCGGACACTTAACCGACTGAGCCACCCAGGCGCCCTTATCTGTTTTCGCTTTTCAAAAACTGCATGTCTGCATTGTACTATGCATCACAGACGCGGGAGGATATGGTATTTCAGCATTGTACCGTGAAAATGCGAAAAACGTTATTAATAAAAATTACAGGTTACAGGTCAACAGTTATTTGCTATATGCTGAACCGTTTGACTTGTCTATTTTACTTATTACATTTAACTTTTGAGGGTTTTTTTTTTTTTTGCCATTCAGAATTATCCCTGTCATAGGAATTTAGCTTTTGCTTACCTATATTATATAATTCGGTAGGTTAATTTGTTTTTCTGTTATGAGCATAAACTGAGATTGAAAGTAAACTAGGAATGTATGGGGCGCCTGGGTGGCTCAGTCGGTTAAGCGTCCGACTTCAGTTCAGGTCACAATCTCACGGTCCGTGAGTCCGTGAGTTTGAGCCCCACGTCGGGCTCTGGGCTGATGGCTCAGAGCCTGGAGCCTGCTTCCGATTCTGTGTCTCCCTCTCTCTCTGCACCTCCCCCGTTCATGCTCTGTCTCTCTCTGTCTCAAAAATAAATAAACGTTAAAAAAAAAAAAAAAGAAGGTAAACTAGGAATGTAAAGACCATGTTGAAACACATAACGTACTGTCCAACGTTAAGATATTTTGGGGTTGCATAGTTATATCTTTAAGATTCAACTTCTCTGCTCCCTTCTCAGATGTTTGGGGTTAGGTCTAAGGCTGAGAAGCCAGGAATAACAGAGCATACAACATAGATGATCGATCTTGGAAAAGTTGAGAGTCAGCCCAAGTTATTTGTGATGTAGTCACTGTCTTTGGACCAAGGGCACACTCACACTCACCCCTGGCACACTTTTCTCACACACTGCATTAACGCGGGTCCTTCTGAAGGGCCGGGTGGAAGAGTGTAGGATAGGCAAATCTGTCACCGTTGCTTCAAAGTCAACTCAGAGCTGGAGCATTACTGACGGTGGGCCAAAGAATTTCCTTTGAATTTTTTTTTTTAACGTTTATTTTTATTTTTGAGACAGAGAGAGACAGAGCATGAATGGGGGAGGGTCAGAGAGAGGGAGACACAGAATCTGAAACAGGCTCCAGGCTCTGAGCTGTCAGCACAGAGTCCGACGTGGGCTCGAACCCACGGACCGCGAGATCATGACCTGAGCCGAAGTCGGCCACTTAACCGACTGAGCCACCCAGGCGCCCCGAATTTCCTTTGAATATCGTGAAGGAGGCATACCTAGCAGGTTCAGTGCCACTTGTAAATGATAATGATGGAATGTTGCAATAAAAGTTTAAAAGCAGCAATTCTAATAGTGACAGGTTTTAAACACATTACATTTACTTCTTGATTCTTCATGAAACGTACTTCTATAGATACCACAAATGTTTTTTTTTTAATTTTTTTCAATGTTTATTTATTTTTGAAAGAGAGAGAGAAAGCAAGAGGGGGAGGGACAGAGAGAGAGGGAGACACAGAATCTGAAGCTGTCAGCATAGAGTCTGATGCAGGGCTCAAACTCAGGGACTGTGAAATCATGACCTGAGCTGAAGTTGGATGCTTAACTGACTGAGCCACCCAGGGGCCCCAAAAATGTTTTTTTTAATATTTTATGTTATCCTGTCTTCTCCACTATATCTCCCTTGATGTAGTTGTGGAAGAAGCCATTGGAGCCAAAAGTGAGAGTGTGACCTCTGAGAATACTCCGTGCAGAACAAAGGTAAGAGTCTGCTACTCTGTTTTTAGAGGAAAAGGTTAAAACTTTGGAAAATTAACTGAAAGGAATGCAAATTTAAAAAAAAACTGTACAATAATTTTTAGAATAAAATCCACCTTTGCTAGGGTTGGCTTACTGTTGCAATTTTGAGTGCACAATTAAATTTCAAGGCAAGCATCCTACCACTTGAAAGGAATAAAACCAAAGAACTATTATTACTGGATCACTCCCATACCCTCCTTCCAAAAAAAAACTCCTCCAGCCTGCAAAGAGGGCCTTCAAAATAAAAAGAGAAATGATTAAAAATGTCCTAAGCATCCTCCTGTTGGAGGGTCACCTGATGCTGCCTCGGATTCCCGCACACCATTATCTTTTTTTTTTAATGTTTATTTATTTTTGAGAGAGACAGAGTGTGAGCAGGGGAGGGGCAGAGAGAGAGGGAGACACAGAATCCGAAGCAGGCTCCAGGCTCTGAGCTGTCAGCACAGAGCCCGACGCGGGGCTAGAACTCACAAACCATAAGATCATGACCTGAGCCGAAGTGAGACGCTTAACCAACTGAGCCACCCAGGCGCCCCACTGCACATCACTCTTTAAAAGCAGCAGAAGCATTAGCAGGGTGGCTCCAAAATGCCAGGGTTTGGTCCTGAAGTGAACTAAAGTATAAACTTCAAATTCTGGGGCCTGAGAACCATCTGGCACCAAGTGGCCTAGTTTCTGCATTTGATGTGCTTCCAGCAGAGGGCCTTTCCATTCTCTCCCTGAGCCGCCCAGGGTGTGAGAAAGTGCTCCCCAGCTCAGGAAACAGAGAGGCAAAAACTTGAGAGGCTTTGTTGCATAATTTGCTATTTGTTTATGACTTGGACACACAAAGGAACACTCACTGCCTCGAAGCCGCCCGCACATATGGCACCCTCAGCAAGGTCCTTCTCATGGAAAAACATTAGGCCCTTTGAGAGAAAATGGTTTGTTAACAGGACTGCTTCTGTTTCTTGGTGGAACACAAACCGATTCTAGAAATCAATTCTTACCTGCAGTTTAAGAGCAGCTTGTCAAGGCTAGGACAGAATCGTAGCTGAGAACTGAGCAAGCATTGAAAAGGAGCCTACAAAAAAGGGAGTTCTCAATGAGAATCGGATGCTAGAGTTAGCGAACACGTTTCTGAAATTTTGGCTTGGAGTCGCAGATTTTTTTTTAATTTTGTTAATGTTCATTTATTTTTGAGAGGGAAGCAGAGAGAGAGAGAGAGAGAGAGAGAGAGAGAGAAAATGAGAAGAGCGGGGGAGGGGCAGAGAGCGCAGGAGACACAGAATCCGAAGCAGGCTCCAGGCTCTGAGCTAGCAGCACAGAGCCCCATGCGGGGCTTGAACCCACAAACTGTGAGATAATGACCTGAGCTGAGGTCGGACACTTAACCGACCCAGCCACCCAGGTGCCCCTGGAGTCCCAGATTTTATGCTGACCTCACATCTCAAAGGTCCACAGAAGATACTCACCAGGGTTAGAGAGGAACAGCCAGTGTCATAGTGTCCTGTTTGCCTGCTGGCCTGTTGAGTCGACCCTGCAGAGGCCGGGCGGTTCGGAGGGGGGCGCGCCTGCTGGAGTTTGTGCGCCTGCGCCTGTCTTGCAGATGCCTAACGAAGCACAGTCGGAATTGCTCAGTGAAGGCACCTCGGATCCCAGAGAAAATCCCAGCCGAAAGAGAAATGGATTGTGCACAGATAAGCACTCGCTGCTCAGTAAGAGGCTCAAGACATGAGAGATTAACATTTTAAAGCAGGATAAATATCCAGGGTTATAGAGAATGAATGGAAGTGTCTCTTCGGTTAGTACCTGTGTTGTACCCTCTAACAGTAGAATTTGCATTTCATTTAGATGTGTAAATAAAAAGGTAACAGAGTGAAAAGAATAAGCCAAGTGAAAATCAAACCATGTCAAGATTATTAGTTCAGCCTCTAGCCTGTTAATTCCCTACTTGCGATTTCTGAAAGTACTTTATTTATTCTACTAAATTTATGCTTCAAACTGAATATTAAGTTGGCAGTTTTACTGCTCATGTGTTAATGTTTGAAATGAGAGCAAAGTACAATAGGTCCCTTAACTTTAGAGACGTGATGCCTTAAAATATGAATGAATCACTTTATTGATTTAATTTATATATATTTTGGGGCTATAATCAAAGATGATGTAAACCAAAACATTTTTACTAGAAAAGCGTACCCTTGTTTTGCACAGAACACTAGGGGTGGTAAAAATCAAAGCCATTTGGAAAAAATCACATACAGCAAATATTAAGAAGCAAATGGATAAATCAGGGGCACCTGGGTGGCTTAGTTGGGTAAGCATCCAACTCTTGTTTTCAGCTCAGGTCTTGATCTCACGGTTTGTGAGTTCAAGGCGTGCATCCGGCTCTGCGTTGACAGCACGGAGCCTGCTTGAGATTTTGTCTCCTTCTCTCTCTGCCTCTCTCTCACTCATGCAAACCCTCTGTCTCAGAAATAAACATTTTTTTTAAAAAAAGAAGTAAATGGATAAATCAGACTTCTGGCAGAGGACTAGGTAAATCAAGATCTTGTGGAGTCGTGGTGGGGGCCTGGCAGCAGCAAAGAACACAAGAAATATATTCAGAAACACAAAGATGTAGCTGGACCGGCAGCAGTAGTCAAAGCACTGTGCTCAGTGAGGAGACCTCAGCTCTAAGTCAGGTTGTGACGCCTTGTCCACTCATTTACCTGGCAGTTAGGAAATTAACTTCCATCCAATCATCTTCCTTTCTCATCAAGTTTATCAGTACCCAGCACACTCCCACACACACAAGAGAGGGAGCTTTGGGCGCGCGTGCCCACGTACAAACACACACACACACACACACACACACACACACACACACACACACACTTCTAACCACACATTGGCAAAGGGAAGTGAGGAAATATGGGACCTCCAGATTCTCTTTGCAACATGCTGATATCGTGAGACATTCACTTGGAGGCCAATATACTGAACTTGGAAGAAATTTGAATTTTAGTATTTTAGTATTGACTTCCCATTATCTCTCTATTGCCTTCCTAATACTTATTAAACTTTGTATTTTGGGTTTTGTTGCATAAGAAAGAGAGAATAATTCTGCTGTGGCTGTTTCATGATAACTGAGAGGGATGTTGAGAGGAAAATGTAAAATCTTCCTTTCTGAGTTTGTCATTAATTAAAAAGCTATTTAAAAAAGCAAAGTCTCATTATTAAATACTTTTTTCCTCCTAAAAATATAATTGACCCTGTGGTTTCTGACTGGATAATGCTGAGGTTGGTTCCCAGGAGCTGGCAAAGAGGAGGGGGTATAGAGATATCTGTGGTTGGCTTCTAAGGAGCACATCATCAGATCTTTCACAACACAGGTCAACACCCCTATAAGCACCCTCTCATGGGCGTGCTCAGTGTTTGTTCTCTTTTCTCATTGCAGAAGGCAAAAGCAACCCATACCCACGTTATATGTTTCCAAGTATAAAATAGAAAATTAAGACTTTATTCTTTGATAAAAGAATAAACTCTTCTTCCTTGCCTATAAATTAGATTTCCATAATAAGGAGGAGAGATCTGGAAATAAATGACATGTTCCTGGATGTAACAGAGACTACCTGTGTATGAGGTTCCTGGTAATCCCTTCATTTCCGTGATGTCACAATTGGGTGTCAGTTTGGGTCCTCTGGGTCTCTAGATTGAGTCCCAAGATAGTTGAAAGTACAAGAGATGGCTTGGGGGTAACTCCTGTGAAAGATAAAGAAGCAAAGAAGCAGTAGTCAGGAAAAGCTTTCAGGTCTGACATGGATGAAAAGAGAAGAGTCAGAGGGAAGATTTGAGCAGGAAGAGCCTGGACTGAGATGCAGCTCTGTGAAAAGTCTCTGCCAGTGCACGGCTTGCCCACAAAGAACTGCTGGGCAGAGATGACCGGGCCCTGGTAGCCCTACTGTCTCCCCTCACTGGCTGGGAGCTCCCAGGGAACACGTATCCAGCTTGAATGCTGCTGTGGATCTTGAAGATGCTGTAGCTAGCGGCCGTCGGCTGACTGCACTCCTCACCACAGGCTCCCTCTTGAAGGGAAACGGAGCAGCACACCCATGGCTGCCACAGTCTGCCCCTTGTACCACATGGATCCACTTGCCCACACATCTGGGGAGCAGCGCGTCAGCGATTCCTTAGTGCATCTCTCTTCCTCAGGGGAGACTTCTCTTCCTCAGGGGAGCTCCAAGAGTGAGCTTCGTGGAGCAAACTACAACTCCTGTCCCTGCAAGTAGTCTCAGGGCCACAACCGGTACTCATCATCTCCCTTCTCCACTACTGACATTCCACTCACCTTTGGCCATCACTTCTGGACGTCCTAGTAGTGGTGTGTCTCAAACCCTCATTCCTCTGGAAACTATGCCCTTCTCAAGCCAGGGCTGAGGCACTATCCGTTCACAGCTACAATTAGACAAGGAGTACCAAGAGATATCAAAGTGTACCATCTGAGTTTCACAGATGTCCTGCCTCCCCCGCTGTGGAACCACAGTGCTGCCTCCTCCTACAGATAAAGGTCAATTAGCTCTGCCAATATGGCGACTCCAACTCCTGCTTTCTAGATGCAAGGCGTCCAAGGTCCTCATGTGTCGGTTGGAGCTTACAGTTTAGCGGAACTCTGACTTTGTCCCTCCCCAAAAGTACACCCCTTTGGGGACCAGAGGCTCCAGTGCTACAGATTCCAAAGCTGTAGGGATAGGAAAAACAAAATTCTACACTGAGTCATCGATGGTAAGTGGGGCCATTCCTGATTTCACCCCTTGGATCTAGGATCCTCCTGGGGACACACAGTGCCTTATGGAGGTCCCTGACTGGGTGCAGATACTGCCATCTGAAGGATAGCACCCCATCCTTACAGAGTATGACCTTTAAGTGGGCTCCTTAGCTGTACCTTTATTCGGGAAGGGCATTCCAATGCTCTACCAGAGTGGCAGCTTCTGGATAATGTAAATGTAATACAACCAGCCTATTTCATGGTCATGGGCCCGCCCTACCCATTTTCATTGTAAAGTGGATTCCCCTTTGGATGATATTTTGTGGGATTCCATGTGTCTCCATGTGAGGGCAGGTGTGTAGAAGGCACTCTGTAAGCCCCTATATTGTGGTTATAGCTTAGGCTCTGTAAGTAGGAGACCCAAAGGCAAACCCATACCCTAAATAGATGTCTATTCCTGTGCAAATAAACCACTGGCTCTTCTGAGACTGAAGGGGCCCAATGTAGTCAATTTGTCACCAAGAGGCCAGTTGATCTCAAGGGATAGTGTCATGTCAGGGACTCACTCTTGGTCTCTGCTGCAGGCAGATTAGGTATTCAGAAGGGGCAATAGTTACATCTGTCTTGGCAAGTGGGAGTCCATGCTGTGGGCCAACACATTGCCTCCATCTCTGCCATTATGACCACTCTGCCCATGTACCCACTTTGCCTTTTGTGAAGTGGCTAATGTCAACTAGCCAAGTCATTTTGTCTGCTTGGTTGTGCAGTACCTCTTCCATGGTGGGTGCTTTTTGGTGGATGTTAACAGGTGATACAAAAACGTTTTAACATGTGGTGTTTACTCCATGTATTCATCCCTGTGCCTTTACCCATTACCCCCTTTGTCACAGGCTCTGACACTTTCTTTCAGGCTCCTGACCAGCTGACCAGGCCATTCACCACTGCTCATGAATCCATACACATGCTCACCTCACTTCTCCTTTACACACCAAGTGGATGATCTGACGCACCACTCAAAGTTCTACCATTGGAAATTTTTCCCTTGCCACTGTCTTTCAAGGCCACCATTGTGTGTATCTATAATGTGGCCATCATCCCCTTTACTGAAATGATAGATCCCTGATTCTTGGTAGGGTTCATCTCCCACCTTCTTGAGCAAACATGTCTTACAGAGGCTTCTAATATACTAGCATACTCTAGGATACTATATAGTGTATTCCAGTATATTATCTCTCTTCCTACAAGATCAGAACGATGTCATCTGTAATGAGTCACTGATATTCTTCAGAATGCCCAGATAGTCCAGATCTCTTGAGGCTACGTTATGACAGAGGGCAGGAGAGTTGACGTTAGCTCTGGAGCGGAAGTGTAAAGAAAGAATAGCATCAGTTCCAAAAGAAGGCAAACTGTTTCTGGTGTTTTTTTCCTAAATGGGTTAAAATAAACATATTCCCCAAATTAATGACCACATGTCATGTACTTGAGGCCTTAGTCACCTGCTCTAGCAACACCACCACGTCTAGCACTGCAGCTGCAATTGGGGCTACTGCTTGGTTGAGTCTGCAATAGTGTAAAGTCACTTCCCAGTTATCAACCTGGTTTCTGTAGAAGCCAAGTCGGCTAGTTAAGAGGGGAAATGATAGGAACAGCCACCCCTACATCCTTTAGACTTTTAAGAGCAGCACCAATCTCCACCATCAATACCCAGAATATGATATTGTCTTTGACTTATCATCTTGGTAGGAGAGAGTGAGGGCAGGTGTGTAGAAGGCCAGTCAGAGGCTTCCACCTGGCCTTCTCCACTATGGTAGCTCTTACTCCACAGGTCAAGGACCCAGTGTGAAGGTTACTCCAACTGCCAAGTACGTCCAGCCGAATCATACTTTTGGGGACTGGGAGAACAGCCACAGGTGTCCTTTACTAGCGAAGCCTTAAAGAGCAGTGAGTGTTCGGGGCTCCTGGAAGTCTCAGTCGGTTAACATCCGACTTCG